AGAATTATCAAAATCGGTCCACTAGCGGCGGAGTTATGCCGTAACACACATAAAAAAAAAACATACAGACGAATTGAGTACCTCCTTCTTTTGGGAAGTCGGTCAAAAATAGGCCTGCTTACCCGATGCAATGCCTTCACATAGACGTAAAGTAGAAGTAATTCGGCATTTCAAAGATGTCTGTGCTATCTATGTGCAAAGATAGCTTTGCAAATTTAGATGGTATCGTGGTCAAACGCTGGTTTATTTAAAAAAAGAGCTGTTTACCAATTTGTTAATAAAAAGGTTTTAGACAACTGGAAACTTAATCACGTGTTATTGTTAATAAATCGTAAAGTAATGTATAGTTCTTTGTATTAGCAAAAAACTTTGTCTCCTTGCGAATAATCGAATAAAAAGCGTTTGAAGTTTTTTTTACAACTTCCTTTATAAATAATATATCAAATGGACAAAAAATATTAGTTGGCACGCGTTTAGTGTTTGGAGTGGTTCATATCCACACGGTTCGATCATGTGTCAATTATGATAACAACTTTGAGTGTTTAAACATAATTTCATTATAGATTATTTAAACGAATAATGTAATCAGTATTACATAATGAAATAATGTATTATATTATTGACATTTCATCTTCGACAGTTAGTTTAATTTGACGATCTTTTAATATTTAACTAAGAAACATAGTCACATTTATTATTTCAAGTTTTTTGTATTCATTCATTTCATGTTCCTAGTGATTTGATATTTTTTTTTAGCCATTTATGTAATAATCCTAATATTAATCAACAATTTAGGAGGCTTTTTTTTGTTTTGACGTAAGCTTCGTTTAACGAAAGATTTAAGTATTTTAATGGTAAACCAGAGTAATAAATACTAACAGGTTTATATTTCAATTAATTTGATTTAGTTTTAATAGCAATAGTGAAGCAGAGTCGTGAGACAATGACTTGGATACTGTTGTTTTTATCTAACAAGAAATAAGACATTAAGCTGACGGTGACTACGCCTTAACATATAGAATCTCGCATTTTAGTAATAATTTAGACTGGTGAAACACTAGAAAGTAACCCATGGTAATATCAGTGCGTTAAAAAAATGACTAACACCCTTTGCCGATTCTAGCGCTACAAATCTTAGTTTCCGCTCCCTCTTTACCTGACTATGAGGGGAGGTAGTTAAGAGTATTTGTAAGAGTAATTCGCAGATCTGTGGCGCCTTTCTGTCAGGCACCCTCGGCGGATGCCGAACCGTACCTTGTCCTAACACCAGTGGGAACCCACGGTTAAGAGTTTTTGATACAAGTAGACTAGCTAGTTATTCTAATTACCAACGTCTTTAAACCGGATTAAAGGAATGTTTACATGCTAACGCTCGGCTTTAGATATTCTTATGGTAAATCAATGTTTGTTTCTGGTAAATACTGACGACAAGTTTTTCCCCAGATAATTAAGATTAAAGGTAAATTTGAATAACATAACAGTAATTTCCTAGTCTTAGATTTATAAATTAAAGACTTGCTAAGTTCGTTCAGTAAATTTCCATACCTAATTATACTAAAATGGCATTAACACCACATTTTTTTTAAATTGTTCAGACCATAGCAGGTAAAACTACAAAAACGCAATACTTTTTCTTTGATTTTCAATCAATTTGGTAAATTAGGTAAAAAACTTCATGGTAATATCGTTTGCAATAATTAGAATCCCTTGCATGTGACACTTAATAAAAGGATATTGTTCAAACTTCAAATAGAAAACAGACGAAACTTCCAGTTAATACTAATACGAGTGTAAGCAGTCTTTAATAACAACAGGCAAATAGTTATACCTTTGTAAAGAATACAAGAATATTATTTCGCGCGATTACAAATTGCCTTTCCGATTCTAAAGATTACAATTGTAGTATAAATATAATTTATACATGATAGCAACATATTGTGTTGTGCATTTGATTGATTGACGCTTTTTTATGATATACGATTTCAGTATAAATGCCACAGATTACATATTATACAGTTTTATTAAGGTTTTTATACATCTTATCATCATCATCATTAACTTTTGTCTACTTACTGCTGGATAAAAGCCTTTCCCAGTGCCTTATAACTTTAATATATTGTAAATTAAAAAACAAACAACTGTATATAGCTAGAACATGCAGCCGTGAAGGTATAAATAACATCTTCCATCTTCGACCAATCTAATCACTGTATATTTTAAAAGTTAGGTTATGTTTCAATATGTGCAGTTGTTGCTCTGATAAATATTTAAATAGAATAATTAATATCACGATGCTTGTGATCATATGGTAATGTAAACCAGCTAGATGGTTTCTCGAGTTGGTGCAATCTTTATTGTCCAATTTAATAAAATACGAATTACGATTACACGTCCAATGGCAACCTAATACCGATATAAAGATGATGGCTACGAGATGACGTTTTTTTATTATTATAATATGTTGCTGGTAAAGAGATGCGCAAGCTTTAATAGCAAGTATTTTTGTCTATTGAAAGAACATAGCGGGAAAATTTAAACAGATTGTTTTCATTTGTATTGAGTTTAATATAGTTCTTTATCTGATGAGATGAGAGATAACTTGTTCAATAATTAATCATTACTTTCATAACAATTCTATCAATTAGTTATTGATTCGATATGCAAAAAACCGTATCTTACACACATCATTGACCAAATAGACAAATGACGTAAACAACTGTTCTGATTACCAAATATGTACACATTTAACTATTTCTAAAGAGTTAAGTATACGACCACAAAGTTTGCACAATTCTGAAATTGCAAATCCTAATACTCGTCAGATGAAATCGTGTAAATGAAAAATTGCATAGCAAAAGACGCTTATGAAATATTTATGTGCCAGTAAGTTTGTATTATGACATACAAACAGATTCTAACTGCCTTAACTGATTCTAAAAACCCGATTTAAGGCCGTTGACTTGTTAATTGACATTTAATTTAATTCTATGACGTTTCTATAGAACCGGTTTAATTACGGAATGTATAAGTAGAACCGAAGGTCTCTAAAACAAATTAAATTCGAAGGGTAGAGTGCCCTTTACACAAAAAAAAAACACTTTACCTGGAACATGGTCAAATGTTTTATAACTTCGATTAGAAACAGGCAAATAAAAATGATTTTCAATCGATTGGCTTTTTATGCGAATAGATAATAAAATCATAATATTTGATTCAGTAATACATTAACATCTATGTTTAAATGAGAATAACGATAAAACAGTATATAATTTATTGTGAAAACCATTTTATAGTTAGTCCTGAATTATCCAAATCGTCAATCCGGCTCGAAGGACCATGTTTAAATAAGAATAACTATAAAATAGGAGTCATGATTTTAGTATGAAAACCATTTTTAATACAACAAGATGAGTGACATATTACTATTTCTTCTTTTGAATATTTTTTCTTTTTAATTATAAACAATCTATAATATGTAGATTAAAACATTTATTTATTTACTGATTTATTATCTTTATTATAACTAATAGAAAATGCGATAAATGTACACAGGTTTGTTACGTTAGTTGATTAGTTTTAGTTTTTTAACATCAAGATGTACAAAGATCAACTGATGATGATAAATTCATTTAAAAGTTTTATATTAAAATTATTTGGAGTAGATAACATCTCCCATTTAATATCGATTAATACGCAATTATATTACCATGCCAAATATTATGTCATGACAAAATAACACCATAATATGTTGAATGATTCCAAATTTCAATGACAAATAAATTAGTGTCAACTAAATCTAACATCAGTTTCATTGTAAGAACGACTAAAGTTTTAATTTTAACAGGAAGTTTACTGCGTTGTTTCGAAATAAGGTTTCGTTTGACCTTACCGTTTATTTAGGTCGAGAATAACCACTTGAATCTAATAGAAGAGATTTGTAATATAATTTGATTTCAACGACATGTAGTTAGCTACCTAAAATGATCCTACCTTGGTTAAATATTATTTGAGGTTGTTTACAACTTTCTAAATACCTAGCTCGGTTATTTTTACGCTTATTCATTGTATCAGAATGTTTCAGTATGTTTTGGCAGAGCAGGGGACGCCGAGGAAGGGGAAATAAATCCTCCCTGTGCGTCCCCTTATGCGTCGAGAAAGGTAGGCAACGCATCTACAATTACAGAAGTCTGGAAAGCGATCGCTTCGTGATTTCGTCGAGTAAATGTGGACTTCTGCTCGTTTCCTACGTTCTGATAAAAAAAATGTAGTCGTTACTTATTGTAACCCTTACATTTTTTAAATTAATTAAAAATATCTTTACAATGAACACTGAAGATTAATGAGCGAATTAAGTGATTTCCTTATTAGAGTTAATGTTAAAAAAATAGCCGTGCTTCAATCGATTATTTATTTACCTAATGTAGTAAAGGACGGAAACTTACAAGTGACCTGTTGCGTCATAAGCTATCCGATGATTCAGATCTCAATAACTGTACAAGTGATATAGTCGAATTATTCACAAATATGCAAATATGATACGACCATTATTGGAATGAATACATATATTTACTATATTCATATATACGCAAGTACATATGAATATAGTATAGTATAGTATATAGCATGCTTGATTTTTAATTAGTTAAATTTATAACATAAAACACAAAAGCTGTTTGAGAATTAATTTTATCATCCAAGATTTAAAACATTGTAAAATAATGTAATAGCAATTGACACGATCCTGGAGTACTTTTTAATGAAACAATTTAAATGCCTCATCAGTATTATTGATTTGGCAGTAAAATGTAGATAGGAATTATTCCAATAACTTTTGCAGTAGGGGAGGCGGCGGTACTTGCCCCAAAGGGTTGGTAATACGTAACACATTGGTAACGTATTACCAACCTTTTGTATATGAATGATATATTTAACTTTTAAAATGCAAAAGAAATTAAACGCTGTAAAAATAGCAGTGATTCAAATTGAAATAAGATACTTACCAAATTTTAATTTATGAATGGTGAATGTGTTTATGCAGCACTGTATGTCATTGAATTCGAGCTGTACTGTAGAGCGCGGAATTAGGGGCTCCACGTTGTTATTACCAAGGCCCACCATGGCGTGATCTTCCACAACGCCCGGTGTCATATTGAACACTCAACTATCACTTTCACCGAATTACGTTCGCTTTTAAGTTTGAGCGCACTTTCTGTTACACAGGATCTGTATTTAACTGTATTTAACTGTCTCTATCGCACTTTGGTATTCTTATATTTATATTGGATTTTAAGTACTCAATTGTTGTCAATACTCTTCAAAAGGTGCAGCGGTTATGCTGGAAAGGTCTCTGTGAACAAAGATTATAATGAATATTCCATATTTAAAAGGATGCGGAGATGTTTGCTGTACTTGATAATTATTAATTAGTGTTAATGTTCTCGTTAATAAAAGTAATGTTTGCAAAACAAATACCGATAAGCTGTTCCAGACTAATCTATTAACGGTATGATTGACGTTATGCGCATTTATAAAAGACCGATATAAATTTAAACTTTCGCAATTATATTCAAATAATTAATTTTACTGCATTATATAGAGTAAGGACTCCAAAGACTGTGAGAGCCACTTTGATAAATAAATTGATGAATTGAATAATGTTATTGTTATTTTTTTTTAAACATCGCAAAAAAGTTTATCGAAATATGCGGCAAAATACAGAAATCGACGGAAGGCAAATCAAGGTTAGGAATGCGACCTTGTAAAGTTAAACTGTGTCTGATGATTGTTCTGACATTGAACCTTTATCAGCGGCGATAACGCTACAAAACTAACAAACGTTTCCGTCAACAGTTACGATGTGTCCACTACGCGAACTGATAAAGTGTATGAGAATTGTTCTAGAATGCAAACGCACTAATATGTTAATTATTTATTCAAAAAGCAGATTTTAGTTAATTATTTTTATTTCATGTAATTATTCCAACTCAGCTTGTGCACGTACTTCATGATAGTCAAATACCAGGATTTGAACCCATGACTACGTGGTTAAAAAATATTACATTTCAACAAAAAAAATAAAAATTTTCTTAAAGTAATAAATGAAGAGTTGGATCATTATACTAGTAAATGTCATAGACATTTCCCAGAGCTCTGACCTCTGACTCACAGATAGTACTTTGAACTAAAATAATAAAAGCATTTCAGAGAGTTTGTTTCGTCGTTTAAACGACTTTTGCTTCGCCGCGCCGTTATCTTTTCAAAGAAAAACATTCATAACAATTTATGATATTATCTATACTTATTATACAGAGGAAAGATTTGCATTTTTATATGTATTCGAAATAACTCAAAAATTACTTGATAGATTTCAAAAATTCTTCCCCCATTAGAAAGCTACGTTGTCATCGTCACATAGGCCGTGTTTATACTATTTTTTAACTCCACGCGTATGGAATCTACTTCAATATAATTATATAATGACAAAAATAATTTTAACAGATAACTTCACTTGTTAAATGTCTTGCGAATGTCACACACGATATTTTCATATTAAAACCGATAACGTATTTTGCTATTTGAATACTATAATTTAGATTTAACTTTTTCTAAAATTACATCTACAATTCAAGTACAAAAAGTTTTTGGTAAACCTGAGTTTTAAGAAACGAATGTGTTCAAGACCTTCGTAATAGAAATTATATTAGCTGTTTCCCGATGGGCCGAGCGGTCTATCAATCGATCGACCCGATGGATTTTTTTTTCCCATTGGGTCGATTGATTATATGGATTAGATCCGCTCAATGGGAAATATCCATTCTATCATTGTGGCTACAGAAGTGGGAACCTTACCATAGACTGATATGGAAGCAATAGTTCTTAATGCTATTTGTACCAGAGTGATACATGTTTCTTGATAAGCAATCATTACGCACGCCATGAATCATTTTTGTATTGCGTATGTTCGTAGCTCATGAATTTCAATTATACTTCGACGTCGCTCCGAATAAATCCATTGACGTATTTGACTGCAATTTGGGTTTTGGTTTGTTTTAGTTTTATCCTGTCTTTTTAAATTTTTTGTGTCGAAGGAAGATGTAAAGATAAATTTTAACTGTCAATGATTTACAGTTTTTGTATTTTTATAGTGGTAGAAGCTTCAATGATTTAAGAGTATAATGCTTATATATTGATCCTTGATAATTTGAAATGGAAAGTTATAAAAAATGTCCTTATGTTTTTTAATCTTTTTCAAATATTTTTTTTTAATCCTTATTAAATATTAATTTTGCATGCGGAGTAATTAGACTCAACAATATTTACAGTAATTGTAAAGCGAAAGTAATGTTTTAAACCTACGTACGACTGTTTAGGCAGGAACCATTTATTTATGTAACCACATACCTACAACATTTTGTCAATTTATCAATTGCCAAAGGCGGTAACACATTGTTTTCCAGTATATCTTATCAATGATATTCTGATTAGTATAAGGCTAATTTTTATTTTAAATATAATTTTCCAGCGATTGCAATTCGTCGCCTGTGGCAGCGAATATTCTGAAAGTTTTAGTGTTTCGACACAATCTAGGCAAAATAAATAAAGATTAACGACGTGGTTTGCTGCAATTCATTAGCTATTTTGAGCACAACACATTAGTTCGCTGGTTATCAGGTACAATGATTCTCTTTAGTATGCCTTTGACCACGCGATAACAAAATTCATTACATTAAGTAATATCCGATACATTTGTCGATCAAAAGGCTAAATAAATAGTGAACTTTATTCGATTAAAAACCTATTGTTATATGTAATCCTCGAATATGGCCATATTATCATGCCATAAATTATTGCGTTAACTTTAATTTATTACCTAACTTAACAGAGATTAATTATAACATGAAGTAATGTCACCTTTTATTGTGTATAGTATCATTTGTGTAAATGGTGTGCAATCTTAAACGATAAGGCCTTTTTATTGGTGCATAAAATGTATTACATCATTTTAATTTAATGTAACTTAAACGAGGTACTAGGAATAATAATAAATAATATTTTATTTACTTATAATCAGCCATGACAAAGAGAGAAGAGAGAATACTTTAAAATGAAAATTTATGAATAATATAGCAGGAATTTATTTGTTTGTGACTTGTTTGTCTCGTTGCTAGCAACAATGTAATTTGTCTAAAAGTGTAACACCGCAAAGTGCCCTGACTGTACTTATAAGACACGAGATGAAACGAGGGGGAAAATCCATAACATACAGGTCGTGAGTCAATATGAAGGTAATTTAATTGTAATATTTTGTTCCGAGAAACACTTCAAAGGAAGACAACAAAGGAGCAATATACACTAAGATATAATTGTCTAAATTAGGTTCAGCTACCTTTGCTTAGTGGTGGTAAATGTTTACTTATTAACTTGCCAGCAAATAATGTTGACTTTGTAATCGAAGGAATTACTTCACGTTCCCTCCTCATAAAATACCTATTGTATAAATTTTCATAGTAATTTTGTTATTAGCGGCTCACCCAAAATATTGCGTCGGATGCCATTGGTTTGCCACTCCTGGCCTTAGGTTATATTTGGGAATGTAGAGGTGTAATTATAGATTGTGTTTCAACTTGTACCTAGAGATTTGTGCCAAGTGTGTGCACAATTAAACCGTGACGCGTTCGCGTGACGACCGATTATTCCGACGTAATCACGGTTTATTACATTAGTTTTATAAAGCACTTGATAGATTAGGCGACTTTTTGTAACCAGGGCATTTATTTTGGGTAAAATCAGCGCATGTATAAAGTGGGTAAATAAATTTGCCATTGTAAATCATCATTACCTACAATTATTAGGATTTATTTATTTTTAACAGACTTCTTAAAAGAAGGAGAAAAAAACTATCAACAATCATTGTAGATTCATTACTTAAAGGTTACTATACTTTCAATAGTCAATTGTTGTGGTAAAAATGTAGAAAGCCTTACGTAGAAATATCATTGCATACCTCGGCTGAAAACGACATCAAAGTAATAATAATTGTACAATATAGACATAACAGCTACAATAAGGGAGGTTTACTATTTTTAAGGAATTATTTCGTTACTTATTAGTGTATTGATTTTTTTTTAAGGATTCTTTGTTTTTAGTATATTTTGTTTGGAAGCCGGTTTTGTTTTTTTTTTTTATTAGGACGCGTTTATGTTTGTATTCTGATTGTTAATATTTCAAAGAATTCCATTCATTGGTAATGCGTATGTAAATTCGTTTGGGTGCATACTTGTTAATCATTTATTTATTGTGCTATAAAACACGATTCGATAAAATAATAAACTTAGTTGTATAATGTTTAACAAGTGAGTATCAGAAATGAGTAAAAAATAATCCGTGATGTGTTACCGTTACCAATTTTAATTCGTTCTCTGATAACAAACATATATTTATTTTGAAACAGTAAGGTTCTATGCGACTTTACGACTTTCAAATGATCGACTTTGTATGCGCGAAATTAAAAGAAAACTTAGTAAGTAGTCTATGTTTTATTCCAGATCTGTGCCATATTTCATCGGGATTCGTTAAGCTGTTTTGGGTAGTACCTAACATCTATCTACCTATGTATCGAAACTTTCGCATTTATATTTGTGCAAGTATGATTTTTGTTTTTTTAAATTAAATTTAGATTTGTTGTTAATTTAAAATGATTGGATATATTGATACAAGCGTGGCGTCGTATAACCCACTTCCGGTCTCTTTTGTTCAAAGTTGCGTATTGTTGTATGTTTGTAGTTATTCATGAAACTGTGAATACATCAACATTGTTTTGAATTTAGTCGAGTTCTTTGTATCAAATTGACGCGTTGTTTTATACGAACGACACTGTATTGTATCGGACAACTGCAATGGTTAATAATAAATGGCCTCGAAATAACATTCAAATATTTAAAAATACTAAATGATTCTTTGATTTCCGACATAGAATATTAACGGTAACAACCAAATATACAAGCCATAGTAATGTCGTAATTCAAGGAACGCTCTCACACCTTTGACTCAACTATCGCACAAGTGTTTAGTCTTGCTTTGAATCCTAAGTGCTTATATCGAGGAACGCACGCTACTCGATTTTTACTGCGAAACAATTGAGAATCGACAATCACAAAACAGTGGTGCGATATTTTAGTCAAAGGTGTACGACCGCTTTTAGTACATCGAAATGTAATATTTATTGTTATCTGAACCCGACAGGCGTTGCAATGACAAGGCCAGAATAAATGAAATTAATACTTTATGGGCACTAATACATCGAGCTATTCGGGACACCGAAATTATAGGTTTAGTAACAAACTCCATTGTTTTAGTTTTAGACATAAAGACACGCACTGTTGTAAATAATTAAATTGTTTAAACTTTCATGAGACATTATTATCAACTGAATTTTATACGGCTAACATTCTAGACATTTATAATTTGTAGGAGCTTTTGCACATGGTATAAAGAACCCTTAGTGTTTGATTACTGTTTAATATTACATTTCGTTTGTCAACGATTGCAAAAACACACGCTTAAATAAGTATTATTACACGTGTTATCTACTACATAAGAGAATTTGGTTTATTTGCGATAACGGGATAAGGTTTTTTTCCACCATTTATCAATGTAATATTTTTGTTTATTTACCCATTCATTAAGTAGTAATAAACAATAAATATTGTAAACCATTGTAACGCAGATTTTACGCTAGGACTTATGAACATTTTTGATTATTATTTACCGCAGAATTTGCAGTAAACGACTATCTACGTAAATTATTCCATGTGTACAATATGCAAACATATTTAGTCATTAGTTTTGCCTCGAACTCGTAGTATTACAGTTACAACAATTTCATTGTCACTACAATGTCAGAAAGATACGTCATGATGTAATTTACCGTGACAAGTATTCAAGTATCGTCACTCAAGATTATATCGCACAATAGTCAAATGCTCTCCCGCGTGATGTTTCGGCCAGATAATTGTAAACGAAGATGTTGATATAAAATGTAATAATATTTTGTTTTAAGAGTGGTATCATGAGCACCCAAAACTGACTGCGTATGTATCTTACTTCTTACTAATATCATAAATTCGAAAGTTTAGATGTATGTAATGGATGGATCTTTGTTAGAGTTTGTAGCCTGAACGGCTGAACGAATTTTGATAGAATGTGGCATAGACGTAAGGGATAGTTAGGAAGAACACATAGGATACTCATTTCTGTTTTTTTCAATTTCACGCAAACGAATTCACAGGCAAAAGCTAGTGTAGAATAAGCGAGATAGATGTGTCAGGATTATGGTTTACGATCTCGCCCGTATTTCATATTTACTTTACGAATAGCTGTTGCTCGCGACCTCACCCACAAGAAATTTAAAAATGTTAAAATTTAAAATCCTTGTTACTTAGTGGTAACGTAGATTTTTAATGGTGAAAATTTTTTTGAGTTATTTCAATACATACAAAAATACAAATTTTTCCTCTTTATGATATTAGTATAGATATCTTGTTGAAATGATTATGCAAAAAAGAGTCAATAGAACAATAAAAAACTTAATAAATCTTTTTTAGTCGGGCTTAAGTTTCTTAAAAAAATTGCTTCATTTCAGTAGAGGTTATGCCTTGACAATAAATTATGCACGCGGCTCAGTTTCATTGTTCAGCGCAGGTAATGTACAATAACTTTAAATAAAAGTAAGAAATAAATTTACATCTAATATATTTCAGTAGGTTTAAATTTCTTCAATATAAGTTTATTTCATGAATTACAAAAATTAATTGAAATAAAGAACATGAAACTAATTAACACATTCAAATATATTACAATGTTATGACATTTCTTAAAACTATTTTAAAATTCGACGTTGTTTATAACTGACATAAAGTAGGAGCTATTAAACCAAGACTTATTTAGGAGATGATTCTGAATTCTATGGAATTATTTTGTTCTTGGAATTACCTGCCTATTAAAATACAATAATTTTTATAAACATTTTTGATTCGATGAAAATCTATGCAATTTGGCGGTAGTTTCTAACTTCGGTATATTACAACGTTTTAAGTTAATCGTAATACAGTCGAAAGTAAAAGGTAACTTAACAAACCGGGTCATTGATTAAACTATAATTCATTTCTTAGCACAAGGGTTACAGAGGATTTCTTGCCCTTTCAATACTTAATACCGAGTTAAAAAACATGCTTTTGTTGAATAAGTTCAAGTTACGAAAATTTCGAAGCTTTATTATTTTTTCTAATACTAAATTTTCTTAATACTTACTCAATTAATGTAGCTTCACAATTTTGTAATTTAAATAAATTAATGTCCATATTTAGTATGTACTTTCATTCGAAAGTATTTTTGTAAACACGCGCGTTAATGATTCATGACCTATCGGGTTTCGTAGACCGATGTTATACAAAGACAACCGTACCACATGCTCGCTGGCACGCGACTGGCCTAACGTGACGTTAGCGCCGACCATCGATGCGACGTGACCGATGTCGGCTAAACCGACATAATATTGAAGATTTTTTTGTCCGACTGATTGCTTGACAAGTTACAAGAGGACTGTTTTTTAGTTGGTATGTAATGTAGCTAAACTTAACTGAACCGATTTTAAAATTAGAACTTAAATTAAACTCTACGGAATAAATTAAAATTGTCTTTGTAATTTTTTTTTCTTTTCGTGTAGTTGCTTGATAAGGCTAAAGCTGGCACTAGTTGTTAGCAAAAATCCAGCGATTTTCCTGTTGAGCAGCGGTATTATAAAAATAGAATTGCATGTGCTAAAATGGATCTTCACTTTTCTCTGAAATTGATGATTCCCAATTTCCTCTAGTTTTGAGGATGTCCTTGAGAAATCGCAGTCTCCCTATAAAGACCACGGGATTTAAATAGAATAATTAAATCGGAGATAAAACGTGATGACAAGCGCATCACTAAGCAAGTTTAACAAATGATTTATTGTCCACGGTAATTGCTATGCATAAATAACACCGTTGACAATATTACTATGTTATAACATAAAATTACAAAAATTATTATGATTCATGTTTGTTAAACATATTATAATGTTTCATGTATTTATCGAAGTGTTTCTACTCGTAGTAGACTTTACTGTCATTAGTCACTATTGCAGAAAACAAAAGACTAAAGATTTCCAAGATAAGTGAACTCATCACGAAATAATAATTGCCTTCAAATGTATTCAAAGACGTTTTTTTCCTTCGATCGTCTTAACTCTCATATAAAGTATGTGACAAAAAATCAGTCGACATCACACAGGACTCAAGACAATTCTTTGCGGTCCTAAGTTGAGTTTAGTGAACCTAAGTTTTTTTATTTTAGTCTATCAGTATGTTTGATATTTATGTACCTATACTAACTATGTTTTCATGGATGGATGTTTGTTATTTTGTACCTACAAAACGACGTAACAAATCTCTGAAATTTAGCACGGATGTAGATGGTAGAACGCATAGGTTACTTAATCATTTTTCTAATTTAGAGATGACGTAGTTTCGGGAAAAAGCTAATATGCAACATAAACATTTATATTCAGTATTGTATACATGATGCTGTAGGAAGCGTGTGCTTGAATTTAATAAGCAGGTAATTCAACAATGTACCTCGTGACATTTCTTAGGATACATACATATGACATACATAAGATGCGGATTGTAATCATATTTGAATAGCTGTTTCGTTCCAAGATTACATGATCGTATGTATATACATACTTTAACTACATATGTACGAGTAGTCGAAGCTTGTAAAATTTTGTACAAAGTTGGATGAAAGAAGGAAATTAAGTGAGCTATAATTATTCTACCTAAACATAAAGTCGACGTTTTAAAAGTAGTACTTATTAAGACAAAACCTACGGAATGTGCATACCAAAATTTTCTTTGTCATTGAGGAGTTTGCTCGTCATGTACCGTTAGAAAAATTGCAAACAAACAGTGGGACAATATTAATTTGCATACAATTAAACTTTGTAGTATTTTGTTTTGTTGAAATGTCAAAAAATTCTTTATATACATGAGATTCAATCATAATGACAGGAAGTCAGAATATGTTATGAGGGTACTTTGACAAAAGGAACAGCTGTCTTCAGTTTGTATTGTACTAACTTATTGTTGTCACAGCGGGAATAATGTGATAATTCTTTTAGTTGGTATTAACTACACATCTCTGTTACACGGTGAGTGACATTGTTTCCAATTTTGCAAATAAAATAGGGGACGCTGGGAGAGTTAATACTCAGTAGTACAAGTTATTTATTGGCACTTTTTTTAGAGAAGGTGCAAACGAGCAATGGGAAGACCGAGGTGTTTATCGAGGCCGATGGACATCTGTTATACCAGAGGAACAGCAGATGCGTTGCCGGCCTTTGAAAAGGTGATTAGATGATAATTATTGGAACTTATTTTTTTGGAAAATATCTATATAAATATAAGAACATGAAATTTGTTAAGCCTGAGTCCCAATGGTTTTTCCTAATTTAAATAAATGATTTTAAACAAACAAATATAGTAAGAAAAGCTATATTAAATAAGTATTGGTCTACTTTAAATTGATCAAATATATAGTTTTTATTTATATTGCTTACTCCATTTTCATTGGAGTATTTTTTAATATTAGTACCAATTACCCCCTACATACCCGCTGTGCAAATTAATGTCCTAGTTAATTAACTTTTCTAACGGGAAGTTTGCTCCATATTTGACGCATTTCAACTCCACAGTTCTTCACCTACCACCGCCAGATTAAATACATTTTTTTTTGTGAAAATAATTCATGCCAACTTGAAAAATGAAGTGGATTTTTTATGTTATAGTGTTTATTTATATGTTTTATAGAGCAGGTATTGTTAATTAAAATTATAATATGAAGTTTAAAGAAGAAGTGCTCAGAATATCTTGCATAAAAAATGTTTATTTTAAATGAGACAATCTCATTCATACATTTTTAAATTTAAGATTACCCATGATTTTGAATTACTACAGTTAATATGGTTTTATATTATTTTATTATCTGTTTAAATTTTTTTCAGTTTATGGAATTAAAGCGAAAGAATCGAACAGTTTGTCTATTGAAGAAGTTAAATATGGGCCTGACAAACATTACTACCCAGCCGGAATCCGTAAGACTATCAGTTGTAAAGCGGCAAATAAGAATCAAAAGGTAAGTTTTTACGTACAAGATTTTACGGATCATACATAAAAAACCTTTTGCATATTGGTTAGTTACTTTAAGAAAAAAATTGCATCATTTTGACGTCAAGCGCATAGACAGACTGAGACCTTATTACGGATATTCGTGATAATGTTATCGACATTTGTATTACATTTATGCAGCGCCCCAATAAATCTCATAGCAATTTTATCGATGACTTTACGAATACGTTCTCGCAACTGTCACGCAAATATTCGTGATAGACCTCTTTTGACAAGTCCACGCCATTCGTAAAAATGGTAGGCAGGTATTCGTATAAATTATTTTTGGCAGTTTGTTATAAGTATGATAAATAATTTTAACCAAAGATTTTTTTGTTATCTTGCGCCTCGGCTTAATTCATCTTGTTTTTTAATTCCTTTTTAAGGTGGAATGGGTAGATCCGAATGGAAGAGTTGTTAAAAGAGTGTCGAAGAACAGAGTGTTCGTACAAGAGCACTTTGTGCCGACATCGACGCTGCGGACGCGAGTACCTGCACTGGTGCTGGTTCTCACTCATGCTACAGTCGACGACAGCGGCCTCTGGGAATGTCGCTCAGGAGACGTCAAGCGCAACGTATCTCTTTGTGTTATAGGTAACAATATATTTTGTACTACTTCACGAATCGGACGAAAATGTCCCTTTATATCAAACCAGGCGCCGGAATTTATATATGTTTATGTTATTAAATAGTTGGTTGTATAAGGGTTTAATGATTGGAAACAGTTGCTTTTAGTAATTCAACAAATTAATATCCTTATTTTTCACAGATCCATCAAAGTTTGTCGACACACCGACAGAAGTGGGCGTCGATAAAGGTCGGTCTATAACTTTATCCTGTCAAGCCCGTGGGGAACCTGAGCCGAGACTGATTTGGTACAGAAATGGAGAATTAATAACTGGTGAAAACTTTTTTTTAATAATACCTAAGTACGAAAAGAATGGTTCTTGAGTTCAACCTTCTTTTGTTTCTAGAGGACGAAGAATCTGATAAATATAGGGTGATGACGAAATACAACAGTCAAGGGTTCGAAGGTTTGTTGACAATCAGCTCTCTGGATGCGGAGGACAGCGGCGTATACACTTGCGAGGCCATTCAGGAGAGTCCTCATGACTCAAGCTGCGGCAATACGGAGAGCTTCAATATCACACTACAAGTCAACTGTAAGTATAAATCAATAATAATTCATACCTGTTGTCTAAAGACGAGGTAGAATAATGTGTACCTTTGACAGCACCCTTTAATACGTTTGTTCCCTATTACCCTACATACTTGGTATGTTTAATTACTTTTTTATAGTTTTTAGTTACTTGTGAACGACCAAAAAAGTCACCAATCTATTTAAACCCAAATGTAATGAAAATCATTTTTTAAGTGACGTATTTTTGCAATAAATTAGGAATCAGCGACATCTTTCCGACAACCGTGGCATCGTAAGGTTGCCTCAGAGAGTTATGAATTGATAAACAGATGGTACGGCTGGTACAATTTTCATCAAAATATTTCATACCATTTTCAGATACTAGATTGCGCTGCATATTGTTATGATAAGATCTAAGAGATGTTTTTTTATTCGAAATAAAAAAGTTCAGTCGTCTCGTACCTACCATATTTAATTTAGTATTAACAAACTTTTGTGGGTGCTACATTATCATGTTGGGTATATTTATTGGGTACCTTCGTTATATCCTAAAATGTAGAAAAATATATGTCAATCTGAGTAATATTACCTACCTTTTCCTATGTGTGTTGTTGGTAGCGTACCTCCAATAGCAGAAGTTTACGTAAGTTTTATTTTTATTTTCATCTCTTCATCTTATCTTACTTCTTACTAATATTATAAATGCGAAAGTTTAGATGGATGGATGGATAGATGGATGGATGGATGGATGGATGGATGGATGGATGGATGTTTGCTAGCGTTTGTAGCCTAAACGGCTGAACGGATCTCCATGAAATTTGGCACAGGTTTACAGCATAGTCTGGAAGAACACATAGGCTACTTTATACCCCGGGAATAGTTACCGTTCCCGTGGGATTCATTAATTTAGTTTTTTATGTTTAATCGATCATTCTGCAACGGTTCAACATATCTTACTGAAATTTGGCACAGATATAAAACAAAGTCTGAAGTACACATGGGACAAGCTCATCCCCGAGAAATGTCCGGTTCCCGAGGGATACCTAGCTTTTTGTAATTTATATAGTTTGTATGTTTTCGAATACCACGTGGACGAAGTCACGGGCAACAGCTCGTAACTTATAAATCAGAATTAATGGACATTTGGGTTAACAGCTCTCATTGTTATTTCACACGTAGATCAAACAAACATTGATAATTAAACGCTCTTGGTGGTCCGTAATCAATAACACAATACGTATAAGTACGGATGTATTTCGTCGTATAAGTGATCTTCATATGACAAGTCAAGAGGTTAAGTTGTAATTGTTAAAATGCGGATAATTAAATTGATTAGCGTAATTCTCACGGCATTTGATTATTATTGTATGAAGATCTCATCTCAGGTGTAGGATCACGAGAACCAGTTGTACATGTTTTTTTGTTTTCATCTCGATAATTGTTATAAAAAATGTTTACACGGCCTTTATAATTATGAGGCCTTCCGGCTACAGTTGCGTTTTAGAGGAAGTCAAATATGCGATAATTAGTTGAATGGTATTTAACAGAAACGGCCTTTAAAATTAGCTGTTGAAACATTAAATTGTCTGTTTTAGATGCTCCCGTGTTCACGGATGCCAACGAAACTGAAATTGTTTATCAACTAGAGAATGAAAGGTATGCTATTTAGGTATTTATAGTGTTTCAATTTTAAGTTTGAATAATTATTAATTTCGGTATCTAGGTTTGATAGTTAGTAGAAGAAAATTTTATACTATATATTCACAAAGCATGTTAGGTATATGAAATATTATGATTGCAAGCTGTATAGTTAGTAACTATGTTTTAAAAGAACTTGGAGACTTTAATAAGTTAAATATGTGTTTCAGTGTTGACATAGTATGCTCCGCGAGCGGATTCCCCACGCCATCTTACACGTGGTTCAGGGATTTAGGCGAAACTCTGTTTGAGTTTCCCGATGAACGAGTTAATCTGCAAGACGGCTCTAAAGCCGTGTTGACACTACCTTCTAACGCTACCATATCCTCACGAAGGTATAAATGTCGGGCGACCAACCAATATGGAGAAGCTTACAAAGTTTTTGTCATTTACAAAATGGAAATTCCTACGAAACCCAGCGAGGTAAAGAAAAGTTTAATTTTAACGCGTTCAATCGACAAAAAGCGACAACGGTTATTCCACCAAATGCGCAATAGATTACAGGTAAAGACTGGAACGACATTATAATTCAGAACTACTGAAGTACAAAATGTTTAAAAACTTAGATATGTTAAATTTTTTGATAACATATGCGCCATACATTTGTTAAGCTGTAACATAGTAAATTTTTTTATTGCGGTCCATCCAACAAGCAGAAAGGGAATCAGTTTCAGCGATCGAAGAATCTATCTATGCTAATATTATAAAGAGGAATGATTTGTATTTTTGTAACTCAAAAACTACCGATTTTAAAGATACTCACACAATTAAAAAGCATCGTATCAGTGAGTAACATATTAATTTTTTTTTTAACCGGAGTACCAGCTAGTAAATAAAAAAAGTGTTTTAAAAAATTGTTTTAGATAACCAGTAAAGAGGCACACCATGATAGTATTTATCTTTACGTAAAATGGGCAGAAGAGATGTCATTTCCCGTAAAAGGTAATTTCATAGCGTATTATAAAACTTAAAATATATTAAACGAGGAAAAATCTGCTTAATTTGTTTCAAATAAATTTACAGCCATAGAGGTTCAATATCTCGAAAAGGGCAGTTTGCCACGAAGGAAGATAGAAAGTCTTAGAGAAGGAGATTGGAGAAAATCTAAAAAAGTAGAAATAGATTTGGAATCAGCAGAGGATGTGGAAGCGGATAGTGAAGGTTAGACATTAACGTTATAATATTGAAATTTAGATAAATTAGGTAGAGGTAGACCTAGAAAGAGAAGGATGGATTGCGTGAAGGGGACAAATTCAAGAAAGGAGTAATGACTGAGATGATGATGAGAGAGTTATTTGGAGGATGAAAACACGTAGCAGCCTACCTACGGTAATAGGATAAGGTAGTGGAGATGATGATGATTGAAATTTTAATAAACTAACATATCTACAGATAGAAGTCGCTATTTAACTTTTATCAAAATGACTTAAAGAAAATAGGCTTTTGTTTTGACAAAAGTCTTGATCAATAATTTACTTAAAATAAAATTCTCAGGAGATCACTTAAACATAATAGCCACTTTTAGTGAACCATATTTCAATCTTGATTAAATATGATTTTAACTCTTTATTCGATGGAGTTTTTGTAGGAAAAAATATTACATGTTACCAATATACTACAATCAAAATCACACGTATTTTTCTCTAGACAAATTCAGAAGATTTTTTTAAATTGGATGTTCTTCACACTTGACACTATAGAATATCGGATTAAGAATGCGTCATAACGTAATCCTTTTTAAATTGTAGGATTCTACTTTACTCTGAGCGATTTGGAATCGGATACTGAATATTGGATACGTTTGCGTGCTATAAACGAAGCTGGAGATTCACCTTGGTCGGAAGCAGCACTTGTACAAACTGTTGAGCAAGTTGAAGCTGAGGAACCTGAAGAAGAGGCCAAAGAAGAAAGTGAAGAAGAGACTAGTGAGGATAAAGAAGAGAGTGCAGTTCCTGCTGGACTGGCTTACTCGGACGCCACGTTCTATGGAGTCTTCTTCGCCGGTGGTATTGTTGTGTTTGCAGTAGCTTGCATGTTTTTGATGAGATTGGTGTAGTTATTTTACAATGTTAATTAACTTAATGGATGTTTGAAATAAATATATTGAGTGGTTACTTTCGTTGATTAATATTTAGTTTGACATATTAGCTTTTATTAGTAGAAAACAATACTAGAGTTATTCAATTAGAATGTAGATAAAATGTAATTGTAGTTTCGTGTTTAGATTTTGGTTACTGGTAATAAGTAATTTATTTAGACAAAGCTTATAATAAGTAGGAAAATGAAGATAAAACCGTGCTAGGATTTAATTTTGAAAGCTGTTTCAATATTAACAGCGGCATGAATGGGGCGGTTTAGTTATAACCGAGCACATCAATTCCAGTTGAAGGCACATATTACACCAAACATTAAATCAGCGCGCCTGGAGGTCTTGATACACATTTAGTAATATATGTACATATTATTACAAATTGCATCATGTTCAAAAATTTATTACACACACATAGTTTAATGTAATATTGGTTCTGTAGGTATTCCTCGATCCGCTAGCCGTTTTCCTTCTTCTAGCCATATTATCATAATAATGTTATAAATGCGAAAGTTTAGATGGATGGATGGATGTTTGTTAGAGTTTATAGCCTAAACGACTGAACGGATTTCGAAGAATTTCGGTACAGAGGTAGAGGATAGTCTGGAAGAACACTTAGAATACTCATTTTTGTTTTTTTTTAATTCCATGCGGACGGAGTAGCGGGGTAAACAATATACATGATCCTGTTTGTATGTATAACTATTCTGTGGTTATTACAAGGTGTTGGAAACGCTTTGTCTAGGAGAGCACTGACATAATGATGATGATGATTGTTTTTTTTTTTGTATTATAAGGTCGAAACAAATAGCAAAGTAAGTTAATTTACGTACAAATATGCATATGAATGCATAGTTTGATATCAACGTATAGATTGGATTTCATACTAATAGAATTTTCATTGAACATAGACAGGGTATGTAAATGCTTTCTAATGCACGTGTAATCCGGCTAAATCCGGCTCGAGCTGGACCAATCATCGATCAATGCTGGCATTTGAAAGCTCACCTTTCATGTTCAACACCACTAGTTATGTTTGACGCATTTATTGTAATAAAATTTTTTTTATAGATCCAGTATTAAATTGTTTTTTTATAATTATTTTTAAGGTATTACATGTTCAAGCAAAAATAAACTAAAATGCAAACCTATATTACTAGAAGTTGTTACTGCAACAATAAAGGGATTAGAGTACGAGTAAAAAGGAACAAACGTAAAGAAAGGACTGATAATAAATTTTAATTGGAACTTCGTTTCCGTCTTGACTTAAGCTGATTTCATCTTGTACAATTTTAACGGCTTAAAATATTTTTATTGCTTTTCAATCAATTTAGGAAATATACCGGGAAGTAACCTTTCCGAATCAAAGACATAGCTTTGTGTTTTGAAAATAGTCTTTTATAAAATATATTCAATGTAATTTATCATAAAATCTGAGGTTTCCAACGCACATTAATTAAGTTCTAAGTAAACTCATTCTACGCTTAAATCCCACGTCGGCAAACATCAATTTAACTTATATTGTAAGTTTCGTATTGACGTTTATATGATGATACGAAGATTTTCCATTAATTAATTCGGTAAAATTATTACGATTGATTCACTTATTTCTAACATTTGGAGTCCTTTAAAGAAATGAACTAAACCAGTAAAGAACACTAAAGACTCGTTTAAGTGACTCTGAGTAGCAGCTACAGAATATTGCATTTCATGTTTTGTAGGTTATACGGTTGATATAATCCATTGTAGATGTTGAGGTTGGTTTAAATCGATTCCTTTATCGACGTTAGGATTGTCACGCTTACCAATGGGACTAATATATTTGACGACCCGATGACAAAGTTCTTGTGGCTTGCCAGATGTTGCCTTTAATTTATAGTCCGAAGCTTCATAATCTGTTTGCTCTAATTTCATTTCTTTAATATTAAAACTCAAGTACTGTTACTACCATCTTTTTTTATATGAATGATCATCATCTTTCTCCTTATTCTATTCCCGTAGGGTGGGAGCAATAGGTTTTTGTCCTCCACATAACTCTATCATACGTCATCTCAGTCATCACTCCCTTTTTGATCACGTCACCTTTTACGCAATCCATCAATCTCTTTCTAAGTCTACCTCTACCGGTGTACCTCAACACTTATAACTAACGTTCTCCATGTAACAAGCTATTCATCCCTTCTCATAACATGCCCATGCTTGTATTAATCAAAAATCGCAAAGTTTTTGCATAAAGCTTATTTTATTAAGTAGCTGTACTAAATTTCTTATTTCTATTAAATAAATAGAGTATACAAGTTATTCCGGAAGTAATTTTACTTTACAAAAGGCCAATCCAATTTATGGTCCGCAGAGTGTAATAATGGATGTATACATTTTATATTGAGTCCAACGTTACAAGGACTTTGTGTTTCTAAAATGAGATAGAATAATCGTATCAAAGCTCTTTCATGTTAATGCATGTATTGAAAATTCATGCATTTTAATCATATTTCTAAACAAAAAAGACTCTTCAACTTAAATACCGATGGCGCCAACTCGTATGTAACACAAAAAGTTTTTTTTCACTAAAGCCTAATTGTGCCTTAACGGCATAAAACCGTTTTTATATTAAGGTTTCTGAATTGAAATATCACGATTTCAAAGCAATATTTAAATCAAAACGACTTAAGAGAAAGTTCCAATGAAATAGTACCTTTGTTTACGTTTTTTAAAACAACTGCTGTAAATAAACAGAGATTTCATAGCTACGTATGTCTCTTAGAAATGAGTGCCAATTTAAGTCAATTCGAAACAAATCGCAAGTTTACAATAAAAATTTTCGCCACCGCCATAAAACTCAATACGCTCAGTGGAATTCAATTACTGTGGGGGACGTAAAGGAAAAAGCGTATTCTTCGATTGTAATAAAAATTGTGAAACTGTATCTTTAAATCTGCCACATAATAAGTCTTTATATTTTATTGCTCATGTTAAAGAATAAAAAGTATGGATTGTGTCACTCCTAAGTTACGGTAGGCTCCGATCCCCTCAGTGGAGGCGTATAGTGAGCTGGTGATGGTGATGATGATAGATTGTGTGAAAGAGGATATGCTTAAGAAGGCAGTGGATTCAGATACGACGGCTGATAGATGTATGAAGCAGTACATACTGAGACAACCCTCGTTAGGGACAAAGGCAACTTGATGATGGTGATGTTTAGGAATAAAAAGTATCAATGAATCGGTATGAATAAAACAAAGAATTGTGGCACAATGTAGTAGATAGTTTTAAATTTATTACACTTCTTTTATGATTTCTTCATATATGTTCCTAAAAAGTGTTACTGGACGTTGTGTACACTTTTATACTCCGTAATATAAACACAATTAATAATTAACCAATTCTTTAACGTATGAAAAATGTTACAAGAATAAAATCTAATTCCTATATTCTTTCTAATCTAATCATAAATAAAATGTTTTGTAAGGTTGTATATAAAAAAAATATACCATCCATCTTCACTTAATTTAACGTAGTCCGAACATGTTTAATTAAATATGTTACGTAGCCTTTTACCACAGCGGCTTGAACACAATAAGCCTTGGATATTGCATGTATTGTTCTAGGCTTTTGTGTTTTCTACTTAAGCGTGAGTTTCCACTGCCTTAGAAAATCATTTTGTCATTCCTTACACACTTATTGAATGGATTGAGTTAACATGATTTTGCACCGATATTTCAGCAGTGGAATAAATATTTTATACAACGTTAGAAAAAAAACATATGGTAACTACTTTGGAACAAACATAGTCCTCGGACTTGTTCAATATGAAGTTAATTTCATTTTATATGTGAACCAAAAATAAAGCCCACAATTTAGACCACACGGTAATGTTAAAGAATTTCCTTTCTTCATAATTAACAGCGGATAAAACATTAATTCTCAAATAATTAATGCTCAAGAGACTTATTAACATGTTTCTTACTTCTGCTCGTGATTTATTGTTTGAATACAATAGGTTACGTAAAAATAACGGTACTCTCCAATACTTAATCTTTCTATCTCACTAGCTGTTCTCGTGCGGCTTCATCCGCAAGGAATTATAAAAACTTTATTGTTTTGTTTACATTTGTCAAATTCTTAATTATAACAGTCAAAATTACCATAATAACCTTGCTTACTTAATGTTGACTTGTAGTTTATGGTCCCTCTCGCACATGTAGGTTTTTAAAATTTATTTACCCCCTAAGTTTAATAGTGTCAAAACTTACAGCCTAAAGTGTGCCGAAGTGTAGGGCTTTTTTAAAAGGAAGAGTAATTCAAAAATATGCTGTCATTGCTGATTTCCTACGCCACAAAGTATTGCGTGTTTACGCTTTATTATATTAGTATAGAATGATAAATTCATTTAAAACAATATAATATAAAAAGAATAGGCATGTATAATCCTATTAGTAAGTTCTTTGTTACATAAGCGCGCTCTATTTAACGACCCAGCTTGTGTTCATTTTACAATAACGCTTCCCCGTTCTACTTCGCTACTTAATGCAGATAACAATGTGATCCTAACTAAGTACATATTCGCGGATACTCTAATCATTAAATACATATGTAGGTTTATAAAAATTGGGTCTTTAATAAAACTCAAGACCGTGTTAGAAGAATAGCAAAATAATTATCTTTAGCAACAGAAGGAGAAATGTAGGCAAAGCATCTGCAATTACAAATGTCTATTGGTTGCAGTCGCTTCGACACTTTGGCGAATTTAGGTTGCCTTTTTCTCCTGTGCCATCTTAAAAAAAAATAAAAATTCTTCAAGTATTTGTTATAAAGCATTCATCGTAATACAACAGACAGTATATACAAAGCACGTTTATCATGAACATACGAATACATATTTTCATACGTTGCGTCGGAAATCTGCGACTTCTTTTAATCCAAGAGAATTGCACAAAGAAACCTTAATTTATTCATTAAGGATGTTAACAAAATACCTTGAACAAGATCGATAATAAAGCGCTTAATTTAATGAAAATATAATATTTTAAAACCTGTCA